AAAAAGGTGCGCAAATGTCCAGGTGCGCAAAAAAAAAGGTCGCATTTGTCCCACTCCCAAAAAATCCTTTTTTTCATTGGAAGGGAATTTCCCACCAAATCAGTTAAAAGGCTGAGTATCTTTAAAAAGTGGTATATATAATGCGGGGCTCGTCATTTTTCTGTCATTTTTTTGGGGAGTGGGGAAAAATGCGACCTTTTTTTGCGCACCTTTTTTTCCGCACTTAGCCCATTAGCGCACCTTTTTTCGCGTTTTAAAAAAGCTCTAAAAAGCTAATATTAACCAATTTCTATTCCAAATGTTGTTTTGCTAGGTAATTTTAGGGCGTAGAATCGAAATTTTGGCATATCAGAGCGTGTGGAACCAGTTTGAAAGACCAATTTGAAAGACAAAACGGCTAGATCAAATTACAGAAAATTGTCGATTTTTCTCTTTGTATAACTCCGTCAGTTTGTTTCCACAAGCTCTGATATGTCAAAATTTCGATTCTACGCCCTAAAATTACCTAGAAAAACAACTTTTGGAATAGAAATTGGTTAATATTAGCTTTTAGAGCTTTTTTTAAAACGCGAAAAAGGTGCGCTAATGGGCAAGGTGCGGAAAAAAAGGTGTGCAAATGTCCGGGTGCGCAAAGAAAAGGTCGCATTTGTCCCACTCCCATTTTTGCGTCACTTTTTTGCAATAATTTTTGCTAAAAGTACGGTAGTTTTTTTCCCAATAGTGCGTTTTAAAAAACACATTACTCGCGAGGAATACACTCTACTAAAAAGGGTGTATTTGCGTATTTATTTAAGTATTTTCAGTCATCTCGATCTTCTTCATTTACGGTTACAATCAACTCTGGAGAATCATTGAAGGACCGGATATTAGTGTGAAATTGGTGATGAGAATTGATGATTTTCTGCAAATAGCAACATTTATTGTAAGCTTTAAATGATTTAAAATCAATTTTTAGCTTAGATCTTTCTACTTTCCTTTCTTATCACACCATTTGCGATTTATTTCCCGTTAACGAACGATGGCTTGACATTACCTATCAGGTTAGATACTTTGAGCTCATTGTAAACACTATTCTGCAATCAATTCTTTGAAAACAAGGTTTTCTTTATATACTGGACCATGTTTAGCGCATTTTACTACAAATTGTCATAAGAAAAAGGAGTTAAACTAGAAAAGATGTGTTTATAATCTTTGTTTACTTTGTTTACTTTGCTTACAAAGTATACAAATGTTTACATGTAGATTAGTAAGTTTTTTATTGTTACATTTGTTATTCCAGACTGCTAGCTGCAGTGGAAAATGCGACTAAACTCTTTTATGCAATCGTTTACATAATCTTAAACTTTTGTGGGATATTTGGACCAATGTTATTGAAAAAGAGATACGAATGCTCAATGGATTTCAATTTATTTATGTCAGATGTCTATTTAATTGTCACAACTCATTATAATCTCTTTGATTGTGCACAATTTTGTCAAATGATGATCTCAATGAGTCGTTTCTTTGCCGTTTCATTTAATGGTCATTATTTTCGGTGAGGGCATTTTGAAGTATCGGTATAAAAAGAAGAAATTTGTCTCTGAACTTTGAAAAATCTCTCAGCTACACCTTGAAATGGCCATTTATCCAACCATTTCTCCCATTCATTTTGAGAATTGCTATCGACAGGATTGGGAATGTTATCTTCAATTGGCGTGCTTATCACCAAGCCACTCCATCCGATCTTCCAATCAATTACTACATTGTACCATTTTTCTATTTTCTTATGTGCTCTTTTGATTTTATGACGTATCGAAAAATGAATTCGGTTAAAGAATTTAAACATTTTCATTAACTATCTACAAAATTTAGATAAAAGGCTCTGGAAAAGTGTCACGAGCTGAGAGATTACTCATGTTTCAAGTAAGTTATTGACCATTGACCATTGACGATTGACCAGTGACCATTGACCAGTGAGCTATTGACCATTGACCATTGACCAGTGAGCTCATTGACCATTGACCATTGACTATTGACCAGTGAGCCATTGAGCCATTGAGCCATTGACCAGTGAGCTATTGACCATTGACCATTGAGCCATTGAGCCATTGACCATTGACCAGTGAGCCATTGACCATTGACCATTGACCATTGAACATTGAGCCATTTCATTGACTTCATTCATTGGCTAATGAAAGATCATAATCAGCTAATGGGCTAATCTTTAAAACTACTGTTCCACAATTGACAGGAGTCAAGCCAAAAGCTAGCTGGCCAAATTCAGCTCCACTGGCTTTATTACTGGCCTACCTGACTCTTAAAGAAAAACTGAAAGAATAGAATCCTTTAGATGCTCTCCTACACCTTACTCACCCTAATGAACACAACTTTTTCCTGGTCAATCGGCTTTTTTCTCAATCTTTTCTTTGGACAATGGATTGATTACTCGTTCTCGCAAATCAACCTTTTTACAAAACAACTATTTTTCTATTTGATTACATGGTTTGTTTTATTTGATATTGAGAAAAATATATGAAATCTAGCCTTGTCAGTGCTGTTTTTTTGAAGAAACCTTCCGAAAGAACTAATGTGAAAATGGTGAGAAAGAGGAAGTTGACAGTTTAAACAACAAATTGAAAACTTTTATGTAAATAAATATTCCTTTGTTTGTTTACAAAGTTATCATTACATTACAATATTCAGAGCACTTTATAATTTGTTTCAAAAAATTTTGCTAGAAAGCTTTTGCATCTTCTATTAGGTTGATGCATAAGTCTTTTCGGTTTTTTCGTACTTCTGTTAAAAAGTAACAAATTCACGAATTAATCTATAGTTTGCTCTATAAAAAAAGTGTTTTTTTGTTCAATTTGCATCTTTTTAAATGAATTTCGGTTCACTTTCAAGCAAATTCGAGAGTGAAAAACGCCTTTTTCGTAAAAATCTATAAAAAACTCTACGGAAAAATTGGCTGAATGAATTTCTCTGAAATTTTGGCGAAATATCAAACGTTTTTTTTCTCTATCTTTTATCTATTGACACGAAGATAGGTTTTCTTTAGCTAAGGTGTCTAAACCGCTCAGGCTCAGGCTCAGGCTTAGGCTGAGGCTTAGCCTGAGCCTGAGCCTGAGCCTAAACCGCATCATCGAGTTAGCCCTTTTTGACTACCCGACTTCATACTCTCAAGAAAATCCAGGCATTAAATATTTTTAAACCCGTTTTAATGTTATTTTGCTAGAAAAATAATTGCTTTTTCTAATGAAATCAACCGTAGTTTAATTGGTGCATTTGTTGGCTTGAAACGGCAGACGAAAAGGAACAAAAACACTTATGCATCAACCTAATAGATAGTTTGAATACTTTTTTTGAACAAACAGACTTTTTTGAACTATTGGGTTGGTGGAAAAGTCCTTTCCGATTTTTTGGGAGAGTATCTTAAATTTGTCCAATTTTGACGTTTTATAGCTCATCCTAAAGCTGAATTCAAGACGGATCGATTGGTAAAAACCGATTTGAGATATCTCTTTTCTAAAAGTTCTTACAGCTATTTTAGTAAAGGGCGGCAGAGCCAAAAAATGGCTGTTTTCACGTTTCGTTAGTTTTCCGTGCAGAAACCTAGGCTAAAAACATGTGTTTCGTGATCAGCGTCAAAAATAACTCCTAAGTTCAATTGTTATTATGGTAAATTTTAGGGTACAACAAAAAAAAACGAGAAAAACGAAGGAAAATCGCGAAAAGCGGCGGAAAGGCTATTGATCTGAGGGTCGCTGGTTCGACTTCCACCGGTGACAATATTTTTCAAAAATTTTTGGCTAAGATTCTGAAAATGTGTGTCTAGGGGTTATTTTTGACGCTGATCACGAAACACATGTTTTTAGCCTAGGTTTCTGCACGGAAAACTAACGAAACGTGAAAACAGCCATTTTTTGGCTCTGCCGCCCTTTACTAAAATAGCTATGAAAACTTTTAGAAAAGAGATATCTCAAAACGGTTTTTACCAATCGATCCGTCTTGAATCCAGCTTTAGGATGAGCTATAAAACGTCTAAATTCGACAAATTTAAGGTACTCTCCCAAAAAATCGGAAAGGAATTTCCCACCAACCCAATAGTTCAGAAGAAATGACAGGGTTGAGTAACAGACTTTTTTGAACTAGTTTTACTGACAAAAAGGCTTATCAAATAGCTCTAAAAGAATGAATTTAGTTTGAAGAAAGTGTGGAAAAAAGGCGAAAACTTGATTTTCTTTTTCTTTCAAAAGAGAGCTTGGTTTATTTTTATTCAAAAAAGTATTGAAACCGTTTAGAAGATGTGAATCAATAAATTGAACCCAAAGAGACTTTGATGAACTCAATTCTTTCTCAAATTTAGAAAAAAAACTGATCAATTTGTGCTTACCAGTGTTTAAATATAAAGAGAATTTAATCTTTCGCAATCATCGACTCACAAAAGCGCTTTTCATTCTCTTTAGTGTGACTAATTTGAGTTCATTTGTCAGTCATAAAAAATTCGATACGCCTTTTTCTCTTTCCAACGTTATCTCAAAAAAAAATTATTTTATACGTATGAAATCGAAAACTCAAAACAATATTTCATAAGTATACAAAAAATTTTGCTGTCTTCAAAGAAATATTTTAATCAAACCTTTTTAAAATAAGCCTGATAAGCTTTTTTCTCTTTCGAACTTTATCTCAAAATAATATTTCATACGTATATGGGATAATTTGAGTCGATTTGTCAAAGTCATAAAAAAATTTGATAAGCCATTTTCTTTCCAACGTTATCTCAAAAAAAATGATTTTATACGTATATCGAAAACTCAAAACAATATTTCATAAGTATACGAAAAATTTTACTGTCTTCAAAGAAATCTTTTCATAAAACCTTTTTAAGATAAGCCTTAAAATAAGCCTATAAGCTTTTTTTCTCTTTTCAACTTTATCTCAAAAAATACGTATATAGCTGCTTTGAATTTCATTTAATTTTTCAATTATTCAATTCTATGAATCAAGAAAATCCTCTACAAATGGGAGATCAATCAAATGAAAGCATTTTGCCGCCTCCAATTGAGAACTTGGACAGTGGTTCTGTTGAGAAAGGACCGGTGAGTGAAAGCAAATGATTAGATCAATATAATTGTAACAGGTTAATGTTCTATAAGTATACTTGCATTCATTAGCTACACTATATTATTGTTTCAGCCCAAGAACCCGTTACTTATGACTGGCCAAATTGTGAACGAGATTCTCAAAAACACGGACGGGGTGAGTTCTTAAAAGCAAGAACAAAGGTTAATTATCTAGAGATTTAAATCTTTTTTATTAGACAATATTTTTATGAGATTTTATCAATCAAATAAATTAGTCTTAATCAGGGTTATTCGGGGGATTTACTAGCCCAAGCCAAGCAAAGCAACCTAAAACAAAAGCCAGGTCCTAGACTTTTGATTTGCCTTGTCTGACCTGACTTTACTGCAGGCTTGATTCATAAAAAGTCCCTAGTTTTGATAAAAGATCTGACTTTGCCTCGCTTAGCTTACAGGCTCTAGACCCAGTTGAAACAACTATGATCAGAGTTAAGACAAGCCTTCAGCTTCATCAGCTCCTATCAGGAGCTGATGAAGACTAACGATATAGAAATTGATTCTGAGAGTTAATTTGGAATTATTCTATTCTTCTTTCTATCAATAAAAGCAATGATTCTATCAATTTACTTTAGAAACTGCCTTCCCAAGAGACTCTCGATCTTCTACCCGAACGCGTCGTTGAGCAAATCAAGCAGAAAGTCGCCACTCGGATTAATCCGGTGCAAATGATTGAGCAAGGTAAGCCAAATAGAACAAAGTATCCTTTTTTGATTGTAAAAGACTAGACAAACAGACAAATCTTTCAGAAGTTGGGGAAAAATCTCCTCAAAGGAAGAAACCAAACCCATCCGGAAAAGGAAAGTCAATCGAAAAACAACCAGGCAATAAGGTTATGTATTTCTATCAAATAATCCATTTTCTAAAGCATGCAAACTTTCGAAAACTCCCGTAATCTTGAGTTCGTTTTATGATTTTCAGATTGATGATTTTCAGCTGCTAGTGATTGAACCACCATCGGCTAGCCATTGGTGATTGAACCACTAGAGGCTAGCCGTTGGTGATTGAACCACTAGAGGCTAGCCATTGGTGATTGAACCACTAGAGGCTAGCCGTTGGTGATTGAACCACCATCGGCTAGCCATTGGTGATTGAACCACTAGAGGCTAGCCGTTGGTGATTGAACCACTAGAGGCTAGCCGTTGGTCATTCAATCACTAGCGGCTGAAAATCACGAGCGGCTGCGACATATAGATGTTAACTAATTCTAATGTTTAGAAAAAGGAAGCGAAAGTTCGATCAAAAGAATGGCGAGTTTTTATGAAAAAACTTCGAGAAGAAGACTATCCACGTCTCGAAAAAGAACTTGAAAAATACAAGAATGAGAGATCACAAATGGAAATGATAATTGAAAAACAGAAAGAGAAAATTGCTTTTTTGACGAGCATTTGCCTCGGAAATGGAAATGCACCCTTTCTGGTGCACTCCATGTAGGAAAGATTGTAAGCATTGCTTAATTAAGTGCTCTAGAAAGGCTTTATTTCCGTTTTGTACAATTTGTTCTTCTTGAATGAATTTTTTTATTAAACTGTCGAGTTTTCAGTTTCTGATGTTGAATTTGCAATGTACATTTTGTGCAGAATTTTAGTGTCAGAACATAGTTTTTGTTAGATTGGTTTTCTCCACCAAGCTTTTGTTAGCTTGCTTTTGTTAGCTTGGTTTTGTTGCTTGCTATTGTTAGCTTGATTTTGTTAGCTTGCTTTTGATAGCTTGCTTTTGTTAGCTTGCTTTTGTTAGCTTGATTTTGTTAGCTTGGTTTTGTTGCTTGCTATTGTTAGCTTGCTATTGTTAGCTTGCTTTTGTTAGCTTGCTTTTGATAGCTTGCTTTTGTTAGCTTGGTTTTGTCCCCGTCTGTCGAGCGATCTTTCTCATTGAGACCTGTGGATTCCGGGCCACGCGCTTCTGAATCACTTTGCGATTTCTGGAGGTGTTGACTGTTCTTTTTCTGCCTCTTCCTGGACGATCTCCATCGTTGCCAAGCTCCTTGTATCGCTTAATCGCTTTTGAGACGAGCTGATGAGAAACACGTAGCAATCGCGCGATCGCACTCACGCATTGACCTAGACGATGAAGCTCCAGAATGGCAGATCCCTTGTTTGTCATCCTATAAAAAAATGAATAGACTTGAAACAAAGTAAAACAACAAAGAACAACGTTATTCCTGGTCACCCTGTATATGGGATAATTTGAGTCCATTTGTTAAAGTCATAAAAAATTCGATAAGCCTTTCCCTTTCCAACTTTATCTCAAAAAAAAAATGATTTTATACGTGTAAAATCGAAAACTCAAAACAATATTTCATACGTATACGCAAAATTTTGCTCTCTTCAAAGAAATTTTTTCATAAAACCTTTTTAAGATAAGCCTGATAAGCCTTCTTCTCTTTTCAACTTTATCTCAAAAAAAAATACGTATATGGAATACGTATATAGCTGACCTTTTCTCATCAAACATTTCATTTTTCAATCATTCAATTCTATGAATCAAGAAAATCCTCTACAAATGGAACATCAATCAAATGAAAGCATTTTGCCGCCTCCAATTGAGAACTTGAGCAGTGATTCTGTTAATAAAGAGCTGGTGAGTGAAAGCAAATGTTTAGATCAATACAATTGTAATCTTAGAATCTTTTCTGAATGGCGTAAACTTTTTAGACTATTCATTTAGCCCAACAACAAACTTTACTTGACTGGAGACATTATCGAGGCAGTTCTCAACATGGAAGACGAGGTAAGAATTCAATAAATTCTTTTATTGCAACAATTTTGTGCTACTAGATAATATTTCTAAAATTGTTAGATTTCAGAAATCACAGGAATCACAGAAACCATCATCGTCTAAGCCTAACCCACCACCGCCAATTTTCAAACCTCTAACCCCAGCCGATCCCATTCCAAGAGCTAATCTGGTTTGTTTTTCTAACAAAATACCCAAAAATAGTCAGCTATCTTGTCTATTTTGGTTAGAGTGTATTCCTAAAACAAGTCACTTTTTTGAAACTGACGTAATTCTTGGGTTTTATCATGGCCCAGTGCTTTATATACCCTTAAAGGGTTGAGCAAAATTACCCGGACAAGAAAATTCTTTGAATATTATTTGTCTTTGTATACTGGACCTTGTTTAGCCCATTTTACTACAAATTGTCATAAGAAAAAGGGGTTAAACTAGAAAAGATGTGTTTACAATCTTTGTTTACTTTGATTGCTTTGCTTACTTTGCTTACAAAGTATACAAATGTTTACATGTAGATTAGTAAGTTTTTTATTGTTACATTTGTTATTCCAGACTGCTAGCTGCAGTGGAAAATGCGACTAAACTCTTTTATGCAATCGTTTACATAATCTTAAACTTTTGTGGGATTTTTGGACCAATGTTATTGAAAAAGAGATACCAATGCTCAATGGATTTCAATTTATTTATGTCAGATGTCTATTTAATTGTCACAACTCATTATAATCTCTTTGATTGTGCACAATTTTCTGCTAGCTACATCTCAGCTATCTTGTCTATTTTGATTAGAGTGTATTCTAAAACAAGTGACTTTTTTGAAAGTGATATAATTCTTGGGTTTTATCATGGCTCAGTGCTTTGTATACCCTTAAAGTGGTGGGAAAAATTACCCAGACAACAAAATTCTTTGAATATTATTTGTCAACCGTTCCATAAATTCTTTTTCTATAAACTCTGAATTATTTTTGAAAAAGTAATCACAATTTTCTAGTCTTAATCTTGTTTTTTTCTTGGGTTTTTCAGAAACTAAATAAGCGTTAAAAAGAGAGAAAATGAAGCTCCGCGCGCTCAAATTTGGCGCATTTGAGCAGTTATTGATAAGTCAACCCGATGCTTTGCAGTTCAAAAGCAAAGCCGGACAACAGTTATTTTCTAATAGATTAAAAATGAATAAATTTATACTATTGAAAAAATTATACGGCTAAGTTGGCTGGCTTCAAAGTTACAACAAAGAATTCTTGTCTGGGTGATTTTGCCCAACATTGTAGACTAAAAAGTGAGTCTTTTAGATAAAACTGGAAAGATTACAGTAGTTTTTGAAAGTTGAAGCTTTAGAAAAGCTTTAGAAAACGATTTATTTGAGAGTTAGTTAGCTTTTATCTGTAATTTAGAAAAAGCCTCGGAAAGAGCCAAAAGATCGAACAAGGGAATACCATGCAAAGCTGAGAAAAGTCTACAAAGAAGACTATCCGAATCTTGTTAAAGAACATGAAAAATGCAAGGATGAGCAATCAAAACTGAAAAGGATAAACAAAGAACAAGAAGAGGAAATCGCTTTTTTGAAGAGCATGTTGCTCAGAAATGGAAACGCCTCATTTTAAGTGCACCCAAAAATTGAGAGCATTGATAGAGCAATGAATTGAATACGCTAGAAAGTAGAGTGCGTTCCTCGCGAGTAATTACTCAAGTAAAATCTGCATAAGTAATTTTTACTTGATTAATCGACGTTTTTTGGTCGAGCAACTACGAGTAAATCCACTTTACACATCGAGTAAACTGAATATCTTTACATGATGAACGGAATTTCCCACCAAATCAGTTAAACGGTTGAATATCTTTAAAAAGAGTCGTATATAACTCGTCGCTGGTGATTTTTTGCAATAATTTTTGCTAAAAGTACGCTAATTTTTCCTAAGTGTGCTTTTTAAAACAACGCATTACTCGTGAGGAACACACTCTACTAGATACCCCCGTATTTGCGTTTTGTACAATTTGTTTTTCTTGAATGAATTTTTTTTTTATCGAATTATCGAGTTTTCCGTTTCTTTGATTGATTGAATTTACAATGTACATTTTGTACATTTTGTAATATCGTATTCTCTCTAATAGTAGTGCACCGAGAGCGTTGCCTAAATTCCTCGAAATCTCAAAAAGCGCTTATCAGAACCTATCGATGTGAGGTCGGAAAATGTAGCTGACGATCAGATCTAGTGGGAGATTTGAGTGTTGAGCTTCTGCGAAACTTAGAAACCGTAAAATAATCATCAACTCAGCTCGGCGGGGTGCACTACTATTAGAGATAATACGATATAATTCTAATAGATAAGCATTGCATTGTTTCTTGTTTACTGAATCTTTGATACCGTATTCTCTCTAATAGTAGTGCACCGAGAGCGTTGCCTACATTGAATCAAGTTTCCAATTTTGGATTATAAAATGATGTGTTGATTAATAGTGAAATTGATAATAGCATGAGCTTTTTTTGGAAAGTAATTGTTTTGGCTCCTCAACTTGTAACACTTTCAGTTATTCATTTAGTTGTTAACACATAATCAATCCTTTTTAAAAAATGTTAATTTGCCATATTCTCTCTAATAGTAGTGCACCGAGAGCGTTGCCTAAATTCCTCGAAATCTCAAAAAGCGCTTATCAGAACCTATCGATGTGGGGTCGGAAAATGTAGCTGACGATGAGATCTTGACGATGATTAGAGTCTTGAGCTTCTGCGAAACTTAGAAACCGTAAAATAGTCATCAACAAGTCATCAAAGACAGGGTCCACTACTATTAGAGAGAATACGGTATTTTTGTGTCAAAACAGCTTTTGTTAGCCTCACTTATTAGTTCTTATTTGAATAAAGTGGAAAACAAATATTCCTTTAAAAAAATCGATCATTACATTTAACAATAAAAAATCTGAAATTATCTAAACTTGAATCAAACAGATTTTTGCTTAAGTAGATAGCTAAAGAATTGATGTGCAAGCACAAAAACTTCCAAACCGTACTCCAATTTTTAAACAGATGTTTTCACTTGGCGCTAATTTCTATTCTTGTTTTGTTTAGTCATTCTTTTCATTCAATTTCTATTTTCTATTCTTCTTTTTACCCATTCTTCACTCACATCTATGCCCAGAGTTTTCCATTCAATTTCTTTCTTTCTTTCTTTCTATTCAAATGCCTCCTCGCAAACGAAAATCCCAATCTCTTCTCCTAAACTCGAAAATTTCATTTCTATTCTCCAATTTACCCACTAAACTCAAAAACTCTGTACTCAATTTCACGGAAATTTCCGACTTGATCGGTAGATGTAGAAGTAGAATTGCAGTATCTCGCAACAACCTCAATCTTGGGTAATTAAACCCAATTAATTAAACTTGAACTCAAAAATTCTGTACTCAATTTCACGGAAATTTTCGACTTTCAAAAACTCTTGAAAACTTCAAAGCGAACAAGAAATGCCAGTTTCGAAAAAGCTTTCCCAGGAAGAATTGAGGATAAAATTGAATTCGTTTATCGTTTCAGCTCAAATTATGAATCGAATTGAAATCAAAAATTGAGATTTCCTTTGATAAACATTTCAAAACTCTTTTCAAAGCATCAATCGATTCAAATTCAAAGGAAATCCTTTCTATTAATAATTTCGAAAGTGAAACGATGACCAAGCTATTCTAGAATAGCTTGGCCATCGTTTCACTTTCGAAATTCATGATTTATTCGATTTATTCAACAAAAGAATCAAAATTTGTCGTTATCTCAATGCGAATTTTGCATGCACTTATCAGAGTTCAAAAGAAGTGAAGAAGTCTGAGAAATTTATGGAAAAATGTATTTCAAGATTATGGGCAATTGATTCAAAATGTGGAAGGATTTCAAACTTTTTGGGAGCGCTCATTTGTCACTCAAATTTCTAAGCAAATTCTCTATAAATTACGTGGGAAATGCTCATTTTCAACTTCAATGGGAAAAGGGAAACTTGGAAAAAGTAATATCTCATCAAATATTTCAAAATTGTAAAGTTTTTACTTGGAATACTTTGACTGACATCTACAAAATGGAAATATGATAAATAACAAAAGAAATATAATAAATAACCAAAGAAATATAATAAATAACAATAACAAAATAGAAATTTTCTTTAATAAATGATTCAAAAGAGAAAATTTCTGAAGCTAATCAGATTTCTTGTAGTTTCAATTGTTGAGTTAACCAATGTTCAATATTTATGGCAATTCTTAAGCTCGCAATTCGTTTAGCACTTAGTTAACTCTCTCTGGAGGAAGGCAAAGCACGTGGTTTGTGGTGTAATGGTTAAGACAATCATCGGTAAGCCCGAGTCCTGGTGGCGCACCAATTTTTGATCTACCCTAATTCCAACTGCTTTCAAAAGAAACAAGAAAGGATTGCATTGGAGTTTATCTTTCTAGATGATTTTTAAAGTTTACTGTTTATTTATTTGTTTAGTTTATTTTATAGTTTTACTCAATCACCAAATTTCACCAAAAAAAACCTCAGTTTTTCTTGTTTAACGATAAGAAACTCTTCACTATTTAACAGTTTTCAACTCTACGAGACATTAAAAATGTTAAAATCACATTTCAGTTTTGATTCCTTTCAAGAAAGCTTAACGAGAGTTTGTAACAAACTCAATTTATCCGATCAAATTTCACCAAAAGGTTACAGTAGGCGCTTTCCACAACCACAACCACAACCACAACCACAACCACAACCACAACCACAACCACAACCACAACCACAACCACAACCACAACCACAACCACAACCACAACCACAACCACAACCACAACCACAACCACAACCACAACCACAACCACAATCACAACCACAACCACAACCACAACCACAATCACAACCACAACCACAACCACAACCACAACCACAACCACAACCACAACCACAACCACAACCACAACCACAACCACAACCACAACCACAACCACAACCACAACCACAACCACAACCACAACTGTTTCTAGGCAGGCAACAGCGTAAAAGATAATAACTTTAAAAAGAATAACTTAAAGTTGTTTGAGTGTATTTTCTTTTTAGCATTAAATTTGTAAAAAATGAGCTCTAATCTGCTTGCTCCCGTAAATATTGAAGACCTTGTATGATGACACTGAAAATACTAGAGAAACATCATAAAAACCCGCGAAATTATACAAAAAAAAAACAAATTCTAAACGATAAATAACGTTTCATATTGTGGTGGTGAATCTAGATTGTATGGTGGTGGCTGATCTCCTTCTATTGTGTACCCGGGTGATGGGTCGGGTAACTCGACCGGCTCAGGTGGGATCGCTAGCTCTTGAGGTGGACAAGGCGATGCTTGGTTGTTAGACTCCTCAATCGTTAGACTGAAATTCGTGAAATCCCGATCTTGTCGTATTACGGTACTGTCTATTTCAAAAAAAGAGCTAGTAATCTTGTCCTAGAGAGTTTTTGAAAGTTGACGCTTTTTAGAAAATCCCTTATAAACTGACCTGTGTTGTGGTGTAACTGCTCGAGCCAACACTCGAAACAAAAGACTGAGAAAAACTGATATTGGACCAATAACAATCCATACACCGGGATCCATATTTGTAAGAGGAAAGAGATCGATTTTCGGGAAATTTCTCTTTTCTTCATTTGTTTCTTATCTATACTCTGAAACGCACTAATCTCATTGAGAGCTTAAATCGATCAAATTTCTTACATAAAAGAACATTTTTAAGTTTAGGCACTTTGTTGATTGATGTTAGCGGCGTAGGCTAATTTCCGCAATTTTTTTTGCGCAATAGCGTCATTTGCGCAACTGGGTCGTGTGCGCAACTCGCCATAACTTTCTTCTAAGTCGGCCAATCTTTATGCTTTTGGTTTCATTTTGTAGATCTCAATACGTGCAACAAAATGAAACCAACATCATAAAGATTGGTCAACTTAGAAGAAAGTTATGGCGAGTTGTGCAAACGACCCAGTTGCGCAAAACAAAATTGCGGAAATTAGTCTACCCCCTGTTAGCAACAAATTTTCCTGTTTCCTATTTTCAGATATTAGGTAAATTTTAAATAACCAAAATTTTCTAGTGTGTGTCTTTAATTTATCTAAATTTATATCACCTTTCATTTGAAAACATTGCTCAACCCCGAGATTATACTTTACTTTTATGCACGATAACGCGAGTATTCATGCAAGTTGCTCCACAAGAGATTGGCTGACAGCGCACAAAATCGGCACTGTCGCTTGGCCCGTGGCAGCCCAGACTTGAACCCGATTGAGAATGTGTGGGGGACACTCGTTCGAGATGTCTACAAGGGAAACAAGCAATATTCGAGCGTGAATGAACTCAAGAAAGCCATTCAAGTAGCCTGGAATCGGCTTCAGCCAACAGCGCTTCATGACCTTGTCTCTTCGATGCCGAGACGTCTTTTTGAAGTTGGACTAAAGCAAGGAGGGGCCACGCATTATTACTTTATTTGGTTTGTGTTGTTATTTTTATTTCTGTTAACTTTTTCTTGATAAAGAAAAGTGCGTCTATAATTTTTTGACAGCTGTTAAAACGTTTTTTGTACGATAAAGTACTTTGGATGAGTGAAATGACTTGAAATTTTGCATGAGTTGTTTTTTACAATAAAGAAACTAAAAAATACTTTTCACTGGACTAGCACTTATGTCCGGCTCTAAACTATTAGGTTGATGCATAAGTCTTTTCGTTTTTTTCGTACTTCTGTTAAAAAGTAACAAATTCACGAATTAATCTATAGTTTGCTCTATAAAAAAAGTGTTTTTTTGTTCAATTTGCATCTTTTTAAATGAATTTCGGTTCACTTTCAAGCAAATTCGAGAGTGAAAAACGCCTTTTTCGTAAAAATCTATAAAAAACTCTACGGAAAAATTGGCTGAATGAATTTCTCTGAAATTTTGGCGAAATATCAAACGTTTTTTTTCTCTATCTTTTATCTATTGACACGAAGATAGGTTTTCTTTAGCTAAGGTGTCTAAACCGCTCAGGCTCAGGCTCAGGCTCAGGCTTAGGCTGAGGCTTAGCCTGAGCCTGAGCCTGAGCCTAAACCGCATCATCGAGTTAGCCCTTTTTGACTACCCGACTTCATACTCTCAAGAAAATCCAGGCATTCAATATTTTTAAACCCGTTTTAATGTTATTTTGCAGAAAAATAATTCGTTTTTCTAATGAAATCAACCGTAGTTTAATTGGTGCATTTGTTGGCTTGAAACGGCAGACGAAAAGGAACAAAAACACTTATGCATCAACCTAATAGCAAAAAACAGGGTGCGTCTATAATTTTTTGACAGAGTGTATATGTTAGGCCTGATTTAGACTCTGTTTCTAAAGATCGTTTTGTGTGATAAAAGGAACGGAGGCCACTTTGTATTGTTTTTCTTTGGCTTTGGAACACTGAACCGATGATTGATTCTATTTTATTATATTTTCTCGCTAGATTAGTAATTGTGTTATATTCGGAATAAATATCTAATAATGATTGCCCCATCGGTACCCTCTCACACACTGCACAACCACAGCTGTTCACGAGGACATTTTACTTTACAGCAATTGAATTCGGAATGATTTATGATGTATGAAATGAAATATGAAATGAAATACGAAATCTAAAACTTGTGTAGGAGATTTTTCCTTTTAACTGACACACTTTCGCAGCATTTCAACTTTTAAGTAAACTTTTTCCATTTCGAGATCAAATTTATTGCACCTGGGATAGGAATTGATATGTACAAGAAGAAAAGAAATAGATAAATAGATATGTTTTGATTTGATCATTTAAATCTACACTTCTGGTTCATTCTCTACGGGGCGCCTCCAGAAGAATGTTACTTTGATTACTACTCCAGAAGCCTCCAGAAGCCTCCAGAAGGGGGCCTTTTCTCATACACCAGCCTTCCGTTTCCACATCTCTTGACTCATCAACATTTCGTTTCCTTGGATGCCCGGAAATACCCTCATTCGTTAGCGGCTGAATTTCGTAAACGGCTACGACATATACACTTCTGGTTCATTCTCTACGGGGCGCCTCCAAAAGGGGGCCTTTTCTCATACACCAGCCTTCCGCTTCCTCTAAAAGCTACCACAGTTTCTTTTTTAATCGAGTTATTAAATTGTGGAACCTTTCATCCGCTCATGTTCGTGATATTCCCACCTTGGCTAGATTTAAAGCCGCAATTTCTGCAATTGATTTGACAGCTCTGTGATTCTTTCTCGAGGTACCTTTTGGGTGTGTTTTGAGTGGTGTCCTCGGTAATTATTGTCATTTTGTTTTGTCGCTATTCAACTGAATAAAGCATATTATATAACTGAAACACTTTCGCAGCATTTCTATTTATTTACTTTTAAGTAAACTTTTTCCATTTCGAGATCAAATTTATTGCACCTGGGATAGAAATTGATATGTACAAGAAGAAAAGAAATAAATAAATAGATAATTGTTTTGATTTGATCATTTAAATATACACTTCTGGTTGATTCTCTTCATGAAAAGCTCTCTCCTCCTCCTCTCCGGTCATTTCTTGAGCATTCGGATTGGCGATTGTGATCGATTGGGAATGAGAACGGAAAGAGTTTGAAGTGTTTCGATCTTTACGAAGAATTCCTCGATTTGGAGCTTGATGCACCAAGGGAGTCTAGAAATTTGGAAGTGTTTAAAGCTGTCTTTTGGCTTTCTAATGTACTCTTTCTCGTTCTTTTCGTCATCCTTTCTCACCGGAAAGGATGTGTTTATGCGATCACAAAGTACTGAAAGACTTTCAAAGCACTTGCTTAGCAAGCTCTACCTGTTGTGATCGATCAGTGCCAGTTTCACTATCCGGTTTCCATCGAACAACTACATCTTTTTGTACCATTGACATGTCATCATCACTAGAAATTCATTTCATTTTATTAAATTTAGAATTTAGTAAGAATATTTATAGTTATAGTTATAGTTATATCAGTCACACAAAAATGTGCTGCTGCGAAAATGTGCTTTTTTAAAATGTTACAGCTGTTCACTAGGATGTTTTACTTTACAGCAATTGAATTCGGAATGATTTATGATGTATGAAATGAAATAAATTTAGAATTTAGTAAGAATAGTTATAGTAATCACACAAAAAGTCTGTTAACCTCGAATCCTTGATCTGACCGACCATCACCGAATTGTTCACTGATTGACCGAAGCTTAGACTGAAAAAAATTAAAGAAATCTATGAAATATAGTTGTTTAAAATCATTTCCAGGAGTAGATTAATTTCCGCTATTTTTTTTGCGCAACTGGGTCATTTGCGCAACAGGGTCGTGTGCGCAACTCGGCATAACTTTCTTCTAAGTGAACCAATCTTTATGATTTTGGTTTCATTTTGTAGATCTCAATACGTGCAACAAAATGAAACCAACATCATAAAAGATTGGTCAACTTAGAAGAAAGTTATGGCGAGTTGCGCAAATGACCCTGTTGCGCAAAAAAATTGCGGAAATTAGCCTACCCCCATTTCCCACAAATTCGTTAACGTGTTTTCTAAAGTACGGACCGTACCCCTCCGCTATTTCACATTGTTTCTCTTGATCAAATTTGTTGTCGTACTTTGGTTTTGAAAAGGATTACTCAATATTTGGTTGTTTAAATAAATTCTATCATTAACATCAAAAAAACACATAAGTATACAAGATTTTTTAAAATTATTATTTCCTACCTGCTACTCCTTCGTCGATTCACTAGCTTTACGCATCCCGGACACAAAGAAATGACGTGTCTCAAGCAGAAACAATTCACGATGAATGCTCGAGTGTATTCTAAAATCAATTTTAAAATCTATACAATCATGCAAAAGCTGGATAGAGAATTTCAACTACCGTAAATACTGTAATAGTACCGCAACCCCCTCGTACAGTCGCGTAGTCGCAAAAGTTTTTTAGTATTTTTAAGTATTTCATTTTTTTCAAAGCACCCATACTTTCAAAAAATACGTCTTTGGTATCAAAAAAATAGCTGAAATTCAGGGCTATTTTTTGATACCAAAGATAATGACGGCGCGGAGTGTTGCGTAGTCTAGCTTTGAACGCGTTTTTCTCGTCACTGGTTTATGCTACAATGCTCGTTTAAATATCAAAAAATAGCCCTGAAATTCAGGGCTATTTTTTGATACCTAAGCGCGCATTATAGCACAAACCAGTGTCGAGAAAAGCGCGTCCAAAGCTAGACTACGCAACACTTCCCACCGTCATTATGGAGGTGGGGTACTATTACAGTATTTACGGTGGTCTTTTGAATTCTGATCTCGTTCTTTGTAGAATGCTTTAGAAGTTATCTAGACAAGTAAATGTAATGCCCAGTTGTCAATCTAATGATCAGCCTCAGTCAGTTAGAAAGATCGTTTCTTTTATGGGTTGGGGCTGGGATTCGAACCCGCTCTCCCTTAATGAGCGAACGTTTTACCAATGAGCTACAACGAGTTACTCCATTCCCTTACGGAGACCCTTACTAGTCAAGGTTGTTTAGTTAAGCCATTTTGACTAGTTTATATTGATCTTCCCGTAAATACTGTAATAGTACCCCACCCCCTCGTACAGTCGCGTAGTCGCAAAAGTTTTTTAGTATTTCATTTTTTTCAAAGCACCCGTACTTTCAAAAAATGCGTCTTTGGTATCAAAAAAAAGCCCTGAATTTCAGCTATTTCTTGATACCTAAGCGCGCATTATAGCATAAACCAGTGTCGAGAAAAACTCGTTCAAAGCTAGACTACGCAACACTCCGCACCGTCATTATGGGGGTGGGGTAGTGTTTACGGTAAGTAAAGATCAAAATTGTCTAAACTCAGCCTTTTAACTCAAAATTTAACAATTAGATCAACAAATAGCTTGTCTTTAATCAAATAAAAAATCCAGTAACAAATAGCGTTTTAAAATTTAAACCTGAACTCGCCATACAGAAAACGTAAAAATTGAGACAATGATTCAACACTTCAAGCACGTTCGCGAGTTGACGATAAAGCTGAAATTTCTTTTTTTAAAACAATCTATTGAGCTCTAGAGATCTATTTTAGACCTTTCAATTGATCTTCTTTACCTGAAATCCGTACAATTGCTCGGTTGCCTCATTCTGGAATAACATCACCAACATTTGTGGAACGTTACCCAAAATAAAGATGAAACAAATCGCCACCATTAAAACTGTCAATTTTTTCTCGGTGAAACTTTTCACAACGCTCGCAAATTCTTTTCTAAAGATGAAAGAATGAAAAGGTGATGTTAAATTGATTTAAATTTTATTAAAACTGTTGTAAAACCAACTGTTGATAAGCGTCTGAATGATAGGCAATTGAGCTTCGATGATTCGAGAAATTTGGTGGTTTTGGTGGAGCTTTTGGAGTCTTATTAAGAAGGACGCGACGATTTCTCTGGAATGATTATGATTTCTAATTGATTGGACTTGATTTTTACCTTTGCAATCTGCAATTTCCTGGCAATTACCACATTGAGTGCTGTCATCACAATAACACACATAAATCGGAGACATTCCCGACCGACTTTGTACGTTTGGAAAATCGTCCAGTAGGGTTCTCTGAGCAAAAGCAATATTTTATATTTTCTTTAACTAACTCTTACATTTAATCGTTAAAGATTACTGTACTGTATAACAAAAGATTACTGTACTTTTAAGCACAAAGCTTTCTCTGAAGTATTTCAGAGAACAAATCTATGATCGTGGTCTGATTTTCAAGTAGAAGCTCACGATTCTAAAGGAAGATCCTTCTCTTTCTTCCTTTCTTTCTCTTCCTTGCCTTTCTTCCTTCTCTTTCTTCCTTCTCTTTCTTCCTTGCCTTTCTTCCTTGCCTTTCTTCCTTCTCTTTCTTCCTTCTCTTTCTTCCTTTCTTTCTCTTCCTTGTCTTTCTTCCTTCTCTTTCTTCCTTCTCTTTCTCTTCCTTCTCTTTCTCTTCCTTCTCTTTCTTCCTTTCTTTCTCTTCCTTGTCTTTCTTCCTTCTCTTTCTTCCTTCTCTTTCTCTTCCTTCTCTTTCTTCCTTCTCTTTCTCTTCCTTCTCTTTCTTCCTTTCTTTCTCTTCCTTGTCTTTCCTATCTCTTTTTGGATAAAGAAGAAGCTGATAGCTTAGTGATAGAGCTACCTGGTAAGCAGAAAATTGATTCAATTCTTTTCTTTACCATTCTTTACTTTATTATCTAATCACTCACTGGCACAATAATCCTTTGTGATTGACAATTGTATAGATTCCTTCTGAACTTTGTTGTACAGTTGTTTGAACAGCCATTGGGACATGAAGAAGAAAAGCGGCAAGAACAGCGATCACAATTCTCCGCCGACATGTCTTCTTCGGGTTACTTGATCGAGCGAGATGTGGACGGGTGATCAAAATGAATCTGAATCGATCAAAATGAATCTTCAGATTTATTTTGATCGTCTTGTACAGTTTTCTCTATCGATTTTACTTCTAAATTATAAATTGATTAAATTATATAAACGATTTTTAGATCTAAAGCATGAAATCATTCCACTCAAGCTAAAACAACGTCAATTGTACTACGTCAATTGTGACTACGCAAACTAGTACTTCAAATGTTTTATGTTGGTCAAAATTTTCTTCCTTTTTCCCCTTATAGAACTTGAGTCCAAAGTCGAATCAAATGAAATTCGATCTTTTTTGCAAAAACTCTCATGCCTTTGTTTTCCCTTAACCCACTTAAGCCACAGAAAAAAAAGAATGAGATTGATTTCAATGAAGAAAGAAGATGTTCTTTGATGCTTTTCCCAGGAAAATGATTAGCGAATTGATAATTGATACAAAAAATATTATCTAGAACATCTGAACAGGTCATCGCAGCTAGACATTGATATTTCGTAGCCGATTATGAATGAAATTTTTTGGGCAAATCTTTCTAGTAGAGCAACCCTTTAATGTATGAGGACAATATTATATCATCCTGTAGTGAATCAAATTCTGCGTCGATTGGTACCAAATTTGTGAGTTTAGGTTAAAAATTACCGGCGCTACAACGTTTCATTCAAAATCGGCGGGACCCCCGTAGCCGATTATGAATGAGTGGGTCTAGGAGTGTCCAACCATCAAGTATTTGATATCATTCAACGCAGAATCATTAATAATTATGTTAAATTTTTAAAATTAGAAAGATTGGATAAAAAGAAAAAAAATTAGAGCAAAAAAACTGTTTGTTCAAGAGGAAACTTTGAAGCCCCATAATTTTTTTTCTTTTTATCCAATCTTTCTAATTTTAAAAATTTAACATAATTATTAATGATTCTGCGTTGAATGATACTAAATACTTGATGGTTGGACACTCCTAGATCCACTCATTCATCATCGGCTGAAATTCATAATCGGCTACGACAGATAAATCATTGATATGATAACAGTGATTGTGTTCGGAACTTCTTCCGATAAAGTTGATTTCTCTTTGAAATCTATCGATCAATGTTCCCTCTGAATCATCCTTTTCCTCCAAAATCTTTCCACGATTTCCCCAGCCATAAGCTAGCCATAAGCTAGTCATAAGCTAGCCATAAGCTAGCCCTAATCTAGCCCTAAGCTATCCAAAACATAGACATTTCTAAACATTTCCCCCTCAACTTTTCTGTATGTAAACCCTTCTGTGCTTTAATAAATATTCTGCCTGAACCAAGGGATAGAGACACATCTTATCCCGAACAGATTGGTTCAAATTTTAGTGACAAGTTTGCTCATGGACGTGATTACTCCGATCTAAACATTTCATCGACCCAACGAACCTCTCAATGGTGAGCATAAAAGCGCAATACAATCCGGCGATCAAAAACCCGTTGATAAGACAAGCGTCCAAATAATTCACATAAGCCATCGCCAAATAACTCTTCTTTCCATTATCCGAAAGAGCGAAATGGAGAACGATTAGAGCAAGAGCACACTAAATTTTGAATAATGATTAGACCCACCGTAAATACTGTAATAGTACTCCATGGGGTCCATTGTAAGAGGATCTACATCTGTTCGAAATATTGTATGGATTTTGGATTGAATAAAGTGGACTCTAGCACATTAAGGTCCGGTTTAGTTACTATATCACTTGGACGAGATATTAACTAAACAGTTACTATATCACCCACCGTAAATACTGTAATAGTACCCCATCTCCCTTGTACAGTCGCGTAGTCGCAAAAGTTTTTTAGTATTTCATTTTTTTCAAAGCACCCGTACTTTCAAAAAATGCGTCTTTGGTATCAAAAAATAGCCCTGAATTTCAGCTATTTCTTGATACCTAAGCGCGCATTATAGCATAAACCAGTGTCGAGAAAAACTTGTTCAAAGCTAGACTACACAACACTTCCCACCGTCATTATTGGGGTGGGGTACTATTACAGTATTTAAGGCAGGTATTTCCTTCTCTTCCTTGTCTTTCTTATTTCTTCTTGGGTAAAGAAGGCGATAGCTCAATGGTAAAGCATCTGCTTGGTAAGCAGAAGGTCGAGGATTCAAATTTTTTGCTATTCATTTCTTTACTTTATTAGTAAACAGTAGCGCAGTTTAAACTAGTCTATTTTGGGATGAAAGTTTGGGTTTTAGGAAAAAACGCAGTTTTGGGATGAATTCAGCTTATAAATTGGCTGAACTGGGCTAAGAAAATGGGTTACGAGACAGTAAGAAGACGATTATTATTGGCTTTAGGATTTCTCATCTAGGCATCTACAATGATTTCAATCTGCACTCACCAAGTCAAAAATGGCCAACGCTCGGATGTACATAAAGGGGATTGTCTTCAGTGATGGGCATTGTAAAGTACGAAGATTTAAAATGTTCCCAATTATGCCGAAAACGCATAGTACAATCTGAAATCGGATTTGGATTGATTTGATTGAATTGATCGACTTTTTTCGTTACCTGAATATTTTTAAAGAGAAGTTTCAAATCCGATAATCCTTGTGTGTCTTCGGCGGTGGAATTCGATGGGAAACAAAATGATTGAAAGCTCATGTAATCTAAAAAATTTGAATTAAGGATAAAGAAGAGATTTATAAGATTATAAAAGAATTAAAAGTTGATTGATGGATTGATTGATTGATTGATCGATTGATTGATTGATCGATCAATTGATTGATCTATCGATTGATTGATTGATCTATCGATCGATCAATTGATTGATCTATCGATTGATTGATTGATCTATCTATCGATCGATCAATTGATTGATCTATCGATCAATTGATTGATTGATCGATTGCTTGATTGATTGATCGATTGATTGATTGATCGATCAATTGATTGATCTATCGATTGGTCGATTGATCTATCGATCTATCGATCAATTAAAAGCTTGAATTTAGATTTTTATATTAAAAATATTTCAACAATGATTTTGTTTTTTTCTTCTTTAATATAATTAATTAAGTAATTCGATCTTTCAAGCACATCATCGTTTCTTGGAAAAGAGTCTAAGTGGTTGGCTGGCTGTGGGTGTGTCATTTTGTGATTCTTGGGGAATTCTTGAATGAAATGAGTGAATCGATGACGTCATTTTGTTGAAGGAGTAGAGAAAACCCTTATTAGAACTTAAATCATTGAAAATATGCAAAGAAATAATAACTTTGAGACTACTTAACGTTAAAAGAAGCTCTGACTACTCGATGAAGTTGGATTTGAACAAAAAAAAACGGGTCGTCACACTTTGAAGGTCTATAACTTTGTCCAGAGACCATATTTTTGTTAACTTTTTATATCATTGTACAGAAGACATTAAAGAATCTTAAAGAATTAAAGATGACGTCATTTTGTTGAAGGAGTAAAGAAAACCCTTATTAGAACTTAAATCATTGAAAATATGCAAAGAAATAATAACTTTTAGACAAAGGAAAGCTTGATATGCTTCTAAAAGTCAAGGCAAGGCCAAAAAAAGTTTTGTTATACTCTTAAAAGCCAAGGTTAACTAAAATCCGATTCTTTAACGTTAAAAGAAGCTCTGACTACTCGATGAAGTTGAATTTGATCAAAAAGTTTTGACGGGTCGTCGCGCCTCTTTAGTTAATCTTTTTTTGAGAAATTAAACTTTAACCTGAAAGTTAATTCAATAAGTTATCAATTCATTTCAAAAAAAATTATACCAAACTCTTTTGTTAACAAAAGAATTTCAATGACAAGAGTTGTACAAGATCTTAAAAGAAAACTTTCAAAGATTTGATTCCATTTTGTGATTTAAAACCCGGACAAACCAATGATCCCTGACTTTTTCTGCTTTTCTTAGAACCCAGCTTTTCTTGCTTTTTCTATCGTTCTTTAACCCCCTTTAGAAACAAAATGAGGAAAGAAAAAGAAAATGGAAGAATTGAGGAATCAAGGAAATCCCTTGATTCATTGCATCATATAATGGCCAACTTTTCTAAAAGAACTTTGGAATCAAACAAAATCAATCTAAAAATAAACGAAATTGCAAAAGAAGTTGAATCTTTTTGAGTATAAAAAGGAAGAAAAAGCTTTGAAAAGGTCTCATAAAGAAAACGTTGAAGAGACTTTAGAAAAAAAAAGAAAAGAGGAAGAACGCGACAAATTATGACCCTTGCAATACTGGGTAAAGATTTTTGCTTCCTCAAAATACAAAATATACGTGAATGACGAGTTTTTAAGTCTTTTTTTCACAGCTTTTATTAAGAATATCTAATTTTAGAGATTCTTTTCTTGTTTTTAATTAAAATCAGTTCAACTAAAGTCATCATTCTAATACTGTATATTAGACTTATAGGGAACCCCACCAGACCATTGACATTTGTTTGGCTAGGAACAGAGGGCTTCTGATGTAGACTTTCATGGTGATTTCGAATTTGTAAACAGAAGTTCCTAAAGACTCAAGCAATGACGCAAGCGTACTAACCACTAGGCCACCAAGGTTGTAAGGGGCCCTTACTAAGGGCTGCATAAGAAAGAACCTTATTGGACACCGATTGGCTTGGCTGCGATAAAATGACGAAAAGGGAAAGTTGAATATCTTTTTTTTGGGGTTTGTCTTTCCCCCCCCCTCTGGTTCTCGATTTCCTTGTTATCCTGTAATATCGCTTTCCTTTTTCTTTACCGCCGCCCGGTGTCCAAGGTTCTTCCTCCAAGGGCCCCCCTTGGTGGCCTGGGGGTCGTTTGCGTTGCTTGAGGCTTTAGGAACTTTTGATTACAGATTCGGAATCACCGTGAAATTCTGCATCAGAAACACTCTGTTTCCAGCCAAACAATGTCGGGGATCTGGTGGGGTTTCCTTCTTAGCCTATCAAGCTCAAAATTTTGATTTATCAGATAATATTAAAGCTTAAATCTATAGTACATTGTTGATTTCCATTCATTTAAGTAAAATAACGATGCTTGTCCGTTATTCATCAAATTCTTAACAGATTAGAACTGAATTAGATTTGAATTAGACCTAAATTAGATCTGAATTAGATCTGAATTAGACCTAAATTACATCTGAATTAGATCTGAATTAGACCTGGATTAGACCTGAATTAGACCTAAATTACATCTAAATCAGTCTAAAATCTGAAATTGTATGATAGATTAACAAAAATATCAAGATATCTTATTCTCTAATGAAATCAGTTTTAAAAAACAACATATTTATGTCTTTTTAAAAGCTTTTAACACTTGTAATTGGTACTTGTCCTCTAGAAAATTCGCGAAAGTGAAATTTGTGTTTAGATCTTCATGAAAATTGAAGCTGATTAAAGTACAGATTTGAAAGTTTTAAGCACAAAAAATAGCAATTAAGTAAAAGAAAAAAACTTGTTATTTTCCTTCTCACAAGGCTTCAAGGTGCAAAATATTTTTCAAAGTTTGTCCACGCTGGCCGAGTAAACCTAATTGAGAAGAGGAAAAAGGAAAAGTAATTGCAATTTATTCGCTTCTCTTAAAGTTTTTTTTGTTATTTTCTATTTGGCAACCATGTGACATTGTTGAGAATGATTAGTGGATTTTGATCGTTGAACAAAGCTATCAGTATAGGATAAAAGTTTCATGTGAGATTTTTGAGGTCTTTCTTGCATCCACTTCAAGAGAAGTTTACTTACAGTAAATACTGTAATAGTACCGCCCCCTCCGCCCTTCAAAAAGAAAAGAATTTTACAAGTTCTTCGCCAACTCTGGTTTAGGAAGAAACGAAAAACATGTATTATTTCAAATTATGTAAATACATTCAATTCGAAACCAAGCCTGCCTTCAGTTGGAATCTTACGGAATTTTTAGACCTACCGTAACGTAATAGTCCCCCCCGTACAGCCGCGTAGTCGCAAAAGTTTTTTTAATATTTCATTTTTTCAAAGCACCGGTACTTTCAAAAAATGCGTCTTTGGTATCAAAAAATAGCCCTGAACTTCAGCTATTTTTTGATACCTAAGCGCGCATTATAGCATAAACCAGTGTTGAAAAAACTCGTTCAAAGCTAGACTACGCAACACTCCGCACCGTCATTATGGGGGTGGGGTACTATTAAAGTATTTACGGTGTCTTTTAAAGAGGTACTTTGTGCTTAAAAGAGAAAGAAATCCTTTCTGGCTTAAGCTTAGATCTTTTAAAGATTGTAAATGCTTTCCTAGATGACTCATGTACTTTGTGCTTTCAACGCACCGCACTTAGCAAACTAGGTTCTCGATTTTTCTTGTATATCAACTGTAATATCAACTCTATGAAGAAAATAACTAAACGAGTGCGCTGAAAAGAAAATGCAAAAAGTAGAGCAATTTTTCAGCAAATAAGTTAATATTTTCAGAAAATAGCAAATTAAAAAGTTTGAAATTAAAATAAACATATCTTTAGAGCATTTAAGAAGTATAAAAAAAGGTTTTGAAAAAGAAATTTGATGCTTTTTGCTTTCTTTGTTAAAACTAAAGTATTTTTCGGAAACATTTTCCAAAATATAGCCTTTTTAAAGCAATATAGACAATGTTTTGCGTTGATCGATTCGTTTTTGCAAAAAAAAAAACACATCTGCTTCTCGTAAACAATCATTTTTTTCGAGACATCTATTGAAAATGAGAAAATTTGAAAGCAAAATAGCAAAATACTATCAAAGAATAAAGAAACTTTTCGTTCTTTGACCAGAAAATTTTCAAAGCAAATAGAAAATGGGTGGGTGATGGACAATGGGTGGGAGAAGAGAAATGGACAAAGAGATGAGTCTTTCGTAATTATAAACTTGAGGAAGAATTGGATGAAGAAAGGAAATGCATTCGAGAAGGACAAGACTCGAAATGGATATTTGGTTAATGTCAATTTTACAACGAAGATGCTCTAGTTTTCAGTAGGATTTTCAAGCGAAAATGTGTAAGAGTAAAAAGTTGAAAATCTCATGGACCATTTGATCTGATCAAAACGGGAGGATTGGACGATCAAACGGCTACTGTTAGAAGAAATTAAACTAGAATTCTAATTCATTTTAAATATATTAGCATTAGAAAATAAGTAGCACAAAAGAGATGAGTCTTTCGTAATTATAAACTTGAGGAAGAATTGGATAAAGAAAGGAAATGCATTCAAGAAGGACAAGACTCGAAATGGATATTCGGTTAAGATCAATTTTACAACGAAGACTCTCTAGTTTTCAGCTGGATTTTCAAGCGAAAATGTTTAAGAGTTAAAAGTTTAAAATCTATTAAGAATTTCATGAACTGCAAAAATATATCTGATGAATTTGATAGGGAAATTCAAAATTCATTGGCTTTCATTGGCTTTCATTGGCTAGGAAATGTTTTAAGCGCAGATTTTAAGACAAATTAATGTTAGAATGAAAGTTGAAGGGCTGGAAAAGGATAAAGAAAGGAAATGCATGTCGAAGGGCTGGAAAAGCTTTACTTTACTCTGAAAAAGCTTTCAAAAACAAAAATATTTAATATTTGGCCTTTGGCTTAGAGCGCCGTAGAAAATGAAAACTCTATATGCTAGGAAAGAGATGTTTACGGCTTTCAGGAAGTTTTCGGACTTGACTTTTTGAAAGTGGAATGAAAATT